ACTCTTATAGAGTCAAATTAAGCAGCAGCTTTTTATACATTTACCTCAGTTTTAAAAAAAATGTGATAGTGTTATCAGAAGTCCCCCAGGTACTTACCATGCAGTAGTGCGGAGACCATGGGCAAAATAGATCAAGGAAGAACAAATCCCTGCCTTGCACTGCTCTCGCTTTGAAGCTTGGAGAAACGTCATTTTCTGTTATTACAGGTACTAATCTCACCAGATTTGCCTCATTATCTGAGGAAAATGTCATTTCTTATTATGTAAAGATCAGATAGGAGAGCAGAAGAGGGGAAAACGCAGCTTCTGAAAGTCTCATATTTTGTGCAGGAGCAGTTGTCAACTGTCAATCATGTCTACCCTCACAATATTTTCTTTGCCATTCCGAATCTCTTTGAATCTCTAGGAAAAATTATTTTAGATATATGACAAATTCTTAAAATCAGTCCCTATTCACCAGTGTGTGCGTGTGCAGAAATAGCAGAATGAAGTTTGTAAGCTACTTTTCCCTCAGAACAGTTAATAAAACAGGCAGCTTTATTAACAATGTAAACTAGGGTTTAGGCATTTTGTTTTTCCAGTCCTCCAGAGCTGCAAAACCACAAGTTGGCATTTATCGGCAGCAATCTATCAACTAAAGTGATTTAGATTCATATCATGTAATCTCTTATTATGTAATCACAAAATGTTAGACATCCCCAATTCTGTCGGTTGCATGTACATGCAGAAAAACCACTCAGCACACTTGTAGCAATCAACAGCCCATGTGCGATCTATCAATACCAGACACTCACCAGTCTTTTATACCCACCTCATCATTTTTTAAAACAAAATAATCAAAACAATAAAATGGAATATTACTATTCAAGAAAGGAAAGTACTTACCCCAAAGACCACAAAGTTATCCTTATAAAACATCCATTTAACCAATATCCTTTGGTTAAAAATGTCTGCCCATGTGCAGAAAAAAACCTGCCCCTTAAAAATACTTAAGTTAAAAAACTCTTAAGATCGAGAGCATCTTAAAGATTAAGAAAAAGAGCAGCCTTACCAATTCACTGTCTCCAGTCTCTGATTGTCTACTCCTTCCATTTTATATAAGTTCTAAAACCTGATCTCAAAATTCCAAATTCCAGCTAAAAAGGTTGAGATTCTTCCTGTGTAAGCTTTGGGTATGCTTTAGTCACTGCTGAAATGTTCTGGCTATTACCAAAATTATGCTCCTCCCAGCTTGCTATTGGTTGTTTGGCAGATAGGGAAGCCGCAGTTGCTATTGAGAAGGCAATGAAAGTATGATTCAAAGTATGATTCTTCACATGTGCTCTTTTTTTCTAGCATAATCATGCTCTGGAGTCCTTGGGGTTCTCTGAGCTTGGTTGTTTTCTTGCAGACGTTTCATAACCCGGCTAGGTAACATCTTCAGTGCTAGAAAGGAGTGAGGTTTGCTCTCGGTTTATATACAGTAGCTTGCCCTGTCAATCATGCTCTCCCAGTTCACCAAACAACTCTTTGGAGGATTGAAGCAGTACAGTGGAAAGCATTGGTAGAGTCATTCTCCACATTCTCCTCTCCATTTATTATATCCCTTTTCCTTGGTGCTAAATGCACTGCTCAATTATTCCAGCTGTCAGAAAACAGTCTTCTTATGAATGAAGGGGAGTGTCTGTGTAGGAGGAACAGAAGCCATTGTGAAAAAGTGGGCAAAAAACTATGTTGCCTACGCTGCTTTTTTAATGTGAAAAAAGTTGAAGAAGCAGCTTCTTTACCACTGTTGGCAACTTAAAACTGGAATGGAAAAGCAAAATGAGCTATGTAGATTTCACTTATCACAAATATTCACCTTAACATTAAAATATTAAAATAAATATTATTTATTTAACATTTAACATTATAATATTAAATAATTAAATAAATATTTAATATTATTTAATATTAATATTTAAAATATTATTCACCTTAACAGTGAAATTCCCAAAGTGACAAACCCAGGTGGTAGAATAATCTTTTGAGGGCTCAAGGGCGAGTCCTGATTTTCCAGTGATTTCACTGAAGGTTATGCTAGAGCACCAAAGGGCAATTAGATCTGCTGGTATCATTTAAAAGTCAGAGTTCAGAGCTAAGCTCATTCCTCATAAGTTACAGCTATCAACTTTCCATGGCTACATAGGGCTGAAACCTATGCAAATACTGCAGCTGTTTAGGACAGTAAGTGATAATATCTAGACCAAGGTTTTATGTTGTTTGTTCCTGCCAAAGCAATAGTGAAAATGTCTCTGCTGAGCAAGTGTCTGCAATAACATCTGGAAAAAAGTCACACCCAACATTATGGCTACATTTTGATAACATTTGCATAAGAAGCATAGGGCTGCCTATCAACATCTGAAATATCACTAGATGGCAACAAAGAGGTGCAAAAGCTTTCTAACATTTTGCTGTCCAGACCTTGGAGCCCTAATGAAGGGAGCCCATATATAGAGTTGCCCTGCCCATGGGGTCAAGATCTTAAGCCATTCATGCTCTTCCCAGTGAGCTGAGACAAAATGGTGGGATGAAAATGAAGTGAATTACACCATCCATCCAACTATGTTAGAACTACTGCTGAGTTCTGTCCAAAGTGCTTGCTCTATGCTGCTGTCCTCAGCAACCATTTTGAAATCGCAGAAGATCATACAAGAAAAGTTAAAAAAAAAAAAAAAAAAACCCTGCATACCTCATTTAATGACTAGCTATACCCTGTATTGGTACATGGCTTGGGGCTTCTTCAAGTGTGGATTTATTTGTTGTCTTTATTCAAGCAATTGGCTTTCGGAGTATGGGAAAGGTGACTTATCTGGAAGAAGTACTATCAAAGCAAACCATAGCACCTCAGTATCGAAGCAGGGGTTTTATAAAGCCGACATAGCAATGTAACATTAGTTTAGCAATCCTTGTAATGAGAGATGGACTGACTGTGTTTGCCCCTGGCAATTCAGCACTCCTGAGCAAAACAGCACTTTTAGGCTGAGCTGCAAAAAAAGAGAAAAGAATGACTGAAGAACTACATGACAGCACATGCCATTGCCAATACCAGCGGCATAAGAAACAAAATGGGGAAACTGAAAAGGGGCTACAAAAAATACAGTTAGGAGCATTTCATAATGCAAGTCTCTTGGAGTAAGCACCAAATCTTTTTGAATGCCATTAGCTGAAATCAGTTTTGTATTAAGGGGCATGACCATGCAAATTCTGAGAATTATACACAGTTTTTCAAAACTAGTGCTGATTCGTTTTCAGCAATGCATATATTTTTCAGCTTCTTTTCTTTTTTGTGAAAAAGAAAGCAGTTGTACCTCGCTTGAAGCTTATTATGGTTAATTTTGGTCTGTAAGGTGCCACAATATGTGTCGTTTTAAATACTAATGTTGAAATCTATGTGCAAGAAGGCACAATTATGAAAAGGTCAACAGCAGTTACATATGCAGAAGAATTCCCGCCATCACATTCATAGTTTATGGAGGATAACTACAAAAATAGTCTTGTACTAGTCTAAATAGTAAAATATTAGAAATTGTGCTTTCCTTATTGAAAGTCATGCTAAACCATGAAAATTGTGAAAGTCATCGGTTTTCATACTTTGAACTATGTGGGCCTTGAAGTTAATAGATCCATGTTGTAGGGATTCTGTAACAAGGTGAAAAAACTGGTTGCCATTTCTCTATATCAGCGTGGCCTACTTTGACTGAAAAACCTTTTTTGGTCTTTAAATACTAAAAGTAATATTGTATTGAAATTTGCATTATGGTTTCTCAATGGTTTTCTTCCTTTGTGAAAGTGGCTTCTGTTTTTCAATCTCATTCTCATGGTACTTTAAAATGTCTTCAGAACTTTATTGCTAAGAGATAGGCCCTGAATCTGATACTTTAGCTGAAAAGATTTCCAACATTTTAGGTTTGTTTGGTTTTTGGTGCCTTTTTTTTTTTCAAATAAAAATAAGCCAACTTCCTTCCAACTGTTTCCTTGATGTTGAACATGCTTACTTGAAAGTAAAATTTCCACTCATCACAGTGGGAATTTGCTTCCAGCTAAATGTGTCTCCATTGGCATAAACCAAAAAAACAACACATTTTTTTCTTTACTGCAGAGCAGATTGCTTGAAGAGGAAAAAATTATTGCTTGAGAATCACATTATCACTAAAAATCAGGGCAAAGTCACTTTTCTTTCTATTTGTTTCTTGTAGGAAAAAAAATTGTGTTATGGTTTTGTCAATATTACACAAAGCTTCAAAATCTAAAATAAATTACTTTATGATCTCAAGGTTCCAATTGATTTTCTAATGATCTCAAATGGAACACATGCCTTTTCCAACTCTCTGGCAAATTGCTTGCTCCTTGGAGAATAGAATTGGATTTCTATTAAAGGGAAGGTTAAAAACCATTCCCCAGAAATCTAGGGGAAGAGGAAAGTGGAGGGAATGAGGCTTTTCCACGGGCTGAGCACTTGGTAAATGGATATTTAACCTTTGACCATTGAAGGCAAGCCTCTTTCAGTTCTGTTAGACCAACAGCTAGCTACTATAATTAAATAAAAAACTGTTTAGAGCCCTGCTGAATTTGTCCTGGGAATTAAAGCATATGGCAAGGATTGGGGGAAAGAAGACTTTCCATATGCTAATGATCCTTGATGTCTGAAATAAATTAGATCCATTAGAGTTTATGCTCAATAAAAGAAAGACTTTAAGCACTCCAAAGTTAGTGACTCGAGACCAATTTTTGGCTCTGAAATTCAATCTGTCTACTTATTAATTCTTAGTAAGACTGTTGAACAGACAAGAGATGCAAAATTATAATAGTGTGCTGAATCAGAATTTTAAAATGCCATGAGTTTCCTTTCCTTTCCTTTTCCTTTTCCTTTTCCTTTCTTTTCTTTTTAAATTAAACCATTTGTGTGTATGTGAATGTGTGTGTTTAAAAGCTCCCTGTGTTAATTTGATTTTATTCCCATCTTTTTTTTTCTTTTAAAGGTTTCATTTATCCTATTTCAACTGAACAGAGAACCCAGAATGAATATGGATTTTCTTGTAAGTGTTGCTTGATAATATGTGCTTGGATTCTGATTAGCTGATCCAAGATTTACTTTGCACCAGGTTGTCTATGTATTGGTGAAGAGAGGTTCTATTTCTGCAGAGTTATGTTTTCCTTACTTAAGAGAACTTCCACATTTGGGAAACCAATTTAGGGAAGAAGGGTAGAAAAAAAATATCAAAGAAGCCAACTAAGATTCCAGCAAAGCATGGAACAATTGCAACTTCTTAATATGATTAAGGAGGATACAACAGTGAAGGGGAATGGTTCCCTCTGTTATTTTTCTTCCACTTTTTTCCTGGAAAGCCAATTCTGAATGATAGAATAAAATAGTAGCATTTTCAAATGCACCTTTTAAGTTCCATTAGGCAGAATACATTGAACCTAATGTCCCTTGGTTATCCATCAGCGTTCACCTGTACTATTAAGAATTAAAGAAAGCCAAGAACAAGTATTTTTAGAATGTGATTTTTTTTTTAAAAAAAAGGCATTGCCTATGCAGAAAAAGAATCCAAAGGCTTAGTACTTAAACATATTGATATATTTAAATTTTGTAATATTGACCTATTTAAAAATAAGGAAAAATTATTTTCTGTACATGGAAAAGTCGGCATCCTATTTATGTCACATAGTCATGTTTTGGGGAAAGATATCTTGAGGGAGGCAATGGGTTGGCATTAAGTATGACAGTGGGATTAGTGAAGGAGATGTGTTACAAACAGATAGTGAAAAGATCACCAAAGCTGGTCTGGTTTCCATAGAACTATGAAACTAGAACTAGAAATAGCATCCCTTGTTATTAGTGCTTTTATAGTTTGCTAATCTGCATTGTGAAAAAGAATAAACCGGGAACTATAGAGAAACTATAGAATAAATAGAATAGAATAAATGTAGAATAAACTATGAACACAGTAGGTAGATGTTGCTTACATTCAGCTTTACCCCATCTGTGTTGTGGACATCATAATACTGGCCTACTTTATAATGGTGTATATGGGAGTATGTGAAGAACTCTAACATCCAATAAAGCAAGTGTGGTGTTGTGGTTAAGATGTTGGGCTATAATGAGAGAGACCTGGGTTCTAATCCAGCCTTATTCATGGAAACTCAACCCAAACCTAGATGCAGGGGATTGTTGTTGTAGGAATAAAATGAAGGGATATTCCATGGAAGCTGCCTTCAGCTCTTGGAGAAAAGACCCAATATAAATCTAATGAATTAATGGATACCTATATGCTTGTTGAATTTCTACCAGGTCTTTCAATAAAAGCCAAACCAAACCTAGAGCTTTTGAAGAGCAGCTCACAGTCGAATTGAAATAATTCCAATAACCAGCAGCTTCACAAAACCACAATTCTAAAATGAAAACAACAGAACAATATGAGCTCATCAAAGAGTATGTGCTCTACACACACACATACCCACACACACACACACATACTTACAAACAAATTGGAGTTCAACTGTATTTTAAAAGACTGGTAGAAAGAAGAATTTTGCCCGATGCTTTACATTTAAACTTAACTTTAAATTAAAGACATTTAAATAAGGAGAGTGCTTCAAGGCAAACAAAGAACACATCACCGGTCACTGATCACCTCATTTCAAAAGTAGGCTCCAGGGAAAGAGGCTGGTAATGCATGAAAAGTATGCACACAGGAAAAATACAATGCATCAAATATTATTGGGCTAGGTGGGTATGGTTCTTATTTCATTCTCCATCTTGGCACATTCCAGCAAGCTATCCAAGGCTTGTTGATGTATCAGCTTGTTCGGTTGCTGTTAATTGTTGTTCTGTTCTTAAATGATGGCTGTCTGGATTTTCATGTCAGCCCAGGTTTGAAGCAGGAAGAGCAAATCTGATTTGGACAGCTGCCTTAGGCTGTCTGACAGATTGCAAACTCCCTGAATTCTGTTCACATGCATAAAACAGTAATGGTCTTAAATCTGAAGCTTACTATAAATCACAAAATATATAAAAAAATGATTAAAAAAAAAACCAATGATGTGTTAGAAACTTGTTATGAGTTTTCTGATATTGTGATACTTTCCTTCGGGTTTTGAATGTGCTGCCAGTCTTTTAATAGCCAAGAACCTGTGGCCTTACCGCAGAGTTGCCCGTTTGGGGCTTGAAAAATAGATTCCCTGCAGCTTAATGTCTGGGGTGCATGTCAACAATAGGTAGATCTTTAAAAATTCTTTAGGCAAAGTGTATGTAGCCACCCAAACTTATACATACAAATGCATACACTGACCCACAGAGACTCAAATAAATAAAATATGCATACAATTTGAAAGTATCAGAACACAGTTACTTTGATGTCTTTTCCATATCACGGAGCTTCTGTTCTTAAATTATTTCCTTTAAGAAGCGGGCAAGCTGTATATCAGTCATGTCACCATTTCCAATTTATTTTCTTTAATATTTGGTTACTTTTAAAAGTAAAGCTTCAGTATGGAAAAAAGAAATAAAGCTTCTTTTATGAACAGGTGCCCCGCTGAATAAATTAGCACTGAAAAGAGTGCTAAATGGCTCTTTTGATTAAATTTGCCTTGATTGTCTAGTTACAAACAATGTGTTATTTTGCTTGCCCACAAGAAAGACAGACACATAGACAGAGAGTAAGGAAACAGTTATGAGTAAAGCCTTGAATATATTTCCCTTCTAAAACCATGGGGTAGAGCATCTGATTTCAAATTAACTTGTAAAACTATAGTAAATATCTGTAGGAGATGATAGAAATATGTGGGGTAGTTAATGTCTTTATACCTTTGTGTCCCAATCCCTTTTTTTCCCCTAGCTGCTCCTGATTCAGATGATGTAGCTCTCTACGTTGGCATTGTGATAGCTGTGATTGTGTGCCTGGCTATTTCGGTAACTGTTGCATTATTCATCTACCGGAAGAACCACCGGGACTTTGAGTCAGATATTATAGATTCCTCAGCACTAAATGGTGGATTTCAGCCTGTAAATATAAAAGCTGCAAGACAAGGTTTGTTTCCAGTCATCGTTAACAAAATTTAGAGATATGCCATAAAGCAGATTTCCCCAACTAAGTGCCCTCTAGATAAATTCATCTAGAATTCCCAGCTATAAAAGTAGTCTGCAGAGGCTACTGTCAGTTGGCCCTCTCCTTCATCCATCCTTTTTTTTTTTTTTTGGAAAACTCATTACTTTTCCTTCCCTCTTGGCCAATCTAAACTGTACTTTGATCAGGGACTCTCCATCAATTATATGTTCTGTATAGGATTCAAAGATAAAATAATTTGGGAGGTGAAATGCAGCTCCTTCCAGCTTCTTTTCTATTTGACCTTGCAGTGCCAAGTTGACTTCCATTAATTTGGTCCATAGATTTATTTTAAATAAGTTCATTTTCTAGAGAGCTACATCAGACACCTGCGGTTGGTCATTTTTCAGCATTTGTTTTCGAGAAGAAAGATCTTCCATGAAGATCAGTGAGATCCATTCAGTTCAGCCATGCAATGACTACATTCTTCTATGCGGCAGAGGAAAAAAAAAGTAGGACATCAATACATGAACAATAAGAAATGTCAAAGGAATAAGAAAGTTATAAAAAGTCCAGAGTATTTTGATTCTATTGATTTCCCCCAGAAGTGAAAATGTGGTTTTCGTGTAATAATAAGGAGATAGTTTGCTATTGTCTTCTGGGATTTTTTCCTACTTTCTTACTAATCTAGAATCTTGGGATGTTCTAATGGTCCCTCTTCCAAGTACTAAGAAAGAATCTGCTTAATTTTCTCACTTCCAATTCCTCCAATTTATTTTCATCATCGTTGGCGCTTCTCATTTCCCTCTTCTGTGTGAGGAGAGTCCCATCCCATGTCTATCCAGTGTAAGTTTTATAAGATGGAAGATGCAAAAAAAAAAAAAAAAGGACCTACAGTATATCTGCTCATTGTCCATTTCAACAGGAGGAAAGCTATATGATTAAAGTCTTCAAAGACATCAAAGTCATGGAGGGCTACAGGATAGTCAGCATGCTTTCCAATGATTAAAACCTAAAAAAACACATTTTGGAGAAGAAGATAAAACCTTTTTTAGAGGATAAAACCTTAGAACCTTTTTTCTGACATGCTTCTGCTCTCCTTCAAAAATTCATTATGGCTCTGCAACACATTTGTCATGGAAAGTTCTGACTTGCAAATGGGGCACTCCAACCTCAAAATGAGACATTCCACAAGTTCTGGAACTTTTTCCAACCTTGAAACACTCTATTTCACAACTGTTTTTTCAAGTCAGAAAAAATGAATGAATTAAATTCATTCTGTCTATTGTATCCTGAAATAATATCACCCCAAATAGGTGATATAGGAGGGAATAGCATATGATTGTCTTGATTGAAAAAAAACTGATCCTTATGCTGCATCATCTCAGAAGTATTTGTGGGACTGGCATTTAAAAAAATGAAAGTAAGAACTAGAAGAGGAATTTACTTGGTAAAGTTACTATTTTTTTAGTTTTTTTTTAAGAAATGACTTTTTTAAAAGCAAAATTAAATGAAGCTGAAAATAAATACAACCAGAGTTTTGCCCAGTGCAGAAGGTTAATACAGCTGCAGTAACCTGTCAAAGATTCACTTAAATCGATCCTGAAAAGGTGCATAAGCAACAATTCATCCCTAGTTCAGAATAAGAGCATATGATTTCAAGGTTCTATGCAATTCTCTTTTCTTTTCTTTTCTTTTCTTTTCTTTTCTTTTCTTTTCTTTTCTTTTCCCCTTTAATACAACAGATTCATATTTTCAGTCAGCATCTTGTAAAACTATTCCAGAAAAGTTTGCTGTGCTGAGTTTGTGGATCAGACTTTAATTGTTAAGATTAGTTGTTAATTACAGATATCTATTCACCACTTCCTTTGTCCTCACTCCAGCCCAATCTTTACTCATTATCCCATAATTGTTATGATTTTAAAAGAAAAAAAATGCTGCTACATTTACTTTTCTAGTAAAGAAATGCAGTGGAACATGACACTATCAAGCACACTGGCTCTATGGCTAAAATAGGCTGAGGTGAGACTGGGTATAATCAGGTTCAAAAACACAATTATGAATATTGAACTAATAATAATTGTTGATTTCACAATTCAAATCTAGGATATTTTGTCATGAACTTGGTAATCATCTATTTTTAGATGACAAATTGTGATCCATGAACAGAAAATAAATTGTTCTCTACAATCTCTGTTCAACACACTGATGCTTTTGAAATTTTTAAATTTCAGATATTCTTGTCAATCAAAAGGATAAGAATCCTTTCCATTTTCATCTACTTATCCAGCATTAGCTTACAACAAAACCTCAGATTCACTTTTTTCTGTCACTTTAATGACCTTCTCTTGCCTTTATCTTGTTCATGGGTTTTCTCTTTCTTCCTATAAAAGAGAGATTTTAAATCAGCGTAAGTTATACAATGTTCCTTTTTTTCTTGTTGTCTGGACCACATCTTATTAGAAAAATCCTGCCACAGTTGGCCAGCTTTAAGTATTTTATCATGGTGGATGTTATCCTATGGACTCTTACATTCATTGTTAAAACTCTGTTGCTGAACTTCAAATCTTGCAGCGGCTGGTTCCATCATTTCTGTGAGAAATGAATCCAGGGTCACTGCCTTTTATGTATAAGCACAAAATGAAACAGTGTTTGCCATCTTGCCCATTTTGACCTCCTACCCCTGTCACTTGTACCCACCAGAGTATACTTTCCCCAGATATATGACCAATTTGGTGCCTATCATTCCTAAAATATGCCTGCCAAAATCCAGAAATGCATATATTTTCACCTCCTTCCATTCCAAAGAGACTAGATTAGAAAGCCATAAAATCATAAAATTCATTCTAAATGGTCCCACACTTCACACCTTTTAACTCTGGTCCAGCAGTTCCCAGACCAGCTCACTTCTTCTTCTTGGTTGTCACTTCCATCATCTCCTTATCAATTCAGCTTATAATTTATGTCATTTCTTCACTCTTGGTGCTCTGGAACTTTGTGGCAACTGGTAGAATTGTTTTCATCATCCATTCAGAGCATAAAGTGCATAGGTATAAACATCAATTCCACAATGGAAAGAACATTTTCCATTGCAATGGGCAGCAAATTATTTATGCAGTAATCAAGACACTTGAACTGGTCTTGAACTGAGTGAATTAATGAGATCTCTGACTACTGGCCTATGGCTATTTGATAGCTGTTTATATTTTCCCTACCTCTGGCTTCATCCACTCTGGAGCTGGTTTCTCTTTGTCTTTTCTGAGCTCTGCTGCAGCAGCTTTTCTTCATTCTGCCATACTCAGTTATCGAGTATCTTTACTTAGTGGAGAAATCAGTGCACTCTAGCTTGTAAAGAGTACTTCATCAGACCACATCTACTGCACATAAACACAATAGACTGACTGGAAGAGACACATTGTGGGTCCCATCAGATTTCAGCTCTATAAACTTCTGAAGAAAGGAACCTTCATATCATAGAACTCCAGTTCTGCCCGCTTCTGTAACACATACAGTCTTTTATATAAACAAACAAGTGAGAACTTGATCCTGAACCTGGCTACACTTGGGTTGCTCTCTATATTTGTTGTATCAGTTGGAAAATCTTTCTAATCATAGTCTGCCTCCCAAGTTCTTGAAATCTTCTAGAAACCATTCTCAGGAGAACCCCACTGTTCCAATACAACTGAACACTTAGTCCTCTAGTGATTTTCAGCCCACAGATGTAAGTGTACTACAGTTGCTCAAACTTAAAGCCGCCAAGTACTCTACCAGGCAGGTGATAATTTCTGCCTATGGGACTAGTGAGACTGATGTGCTATAACAGGATGCTTCCTATATTGTGTGGCATAAGGACAAGGTTGTCCTCCAGCTTGATTAATCTTCTACAAAATAGTTTCCACTTTTCAAAGATTCAGGATATAGTACTTTTCACATCCTTTCCCAGCTCTATTATCCTCCTGGGGATTTATTTTCATTGCCTATATGTTAGGCCTTTACAATCTCCTACATCCATTTTCTGCCATTCTGACATTGCAGCAGCTTTCCTGTCTCTTCCCAACATTTCTGTCAATTTTGCTGATCAGTTTGTTGGCCTGCCACTCCCATGCAATGTCAAAAGTCATTCCGCCAAAGCCATTGGGATCTCTGCTGCCCTTTCTGGAAAAATTCTCCAGAACTGCAGGTTGATCTACCCCATCAACCTTTGTGAGATGTTATTGTCACTTCCAGAATTTAATCTGCTTCTGTTAGAGCCATGTTTTCTTCCATCCTATGTTAGGACCACTTAACCTTGCTCTTCACCCATCAGCATGATGCACAGAAATCATCTGGAAAAACATCAGGTTGTTTACCTGTAGCTCTGAATCTTCATGTGTGAAATACCTTAGTATGACTGCACAAATTATTGATATTTATATGACATTTCAAATACTTTCAGATTTCAGATTATATGACATTTCAAATATTTTCATATTTCAGGTTCTGTAGCCAAACCCTAGACTTCAGTAATGAATTAGTGAACCTTTCTTGACTACAGAGAAATTACTGTTTTTCTGTAGTTTATGGGCATAATACATTATTTTTTTTAACTGAATATCTTCAAAGTTGCCCTAGAGGCCAGGTTGATTATGGAACTCCATAATCAAGAGTTCCATTCACATCACATCTATTGCATGCCAGTTGGGGAATGCTGTTGTTAAGACTGTAGCTTCTTAATTTTAATGTTACATTTTTTCCCCTTCTTTTAAACAGATCTCCTAGCTGTACCTCCTGACCTTACTTCTGCAGCAGCTATGTATAGGGGCCCTGTCTATGCCTTGCATGACGTCTCTGATAAAATCCCAATGACCAACTCTCCAATTCTGGATCCACTGCCCAACTTGAAGATCAAGGTTTACAATAATTCGGGTGCAGTCACACCCCAGGATGATCTGTCCGATTTTTCATCCAAACTCTCTCCACAGATTACTCAATCCCTACTGGATAATGAAACATTAAACATTAAAAACCAGAGTCTTGCACGACAAACAGATCCATCGTGCACTGCCTTTGGAACTTTCAATTCTCTTGGAGGTCATCTGATTGTACCTAATTCAGGTAAATTATTATTTACAGGCATTTGCTTTTAAAGAACATTTTGCAGGTATTTCCAGAGTTATTGGTGTGTGTTTTTTTCCCCTCCAGCAAAGGTTTGGGTCATTATAGAAATCTGTATCCTCTGCATTTAAACCAGAGAGATCTTTTTCTCCCATTTGGTTTTACTTGGCTATTATACATATTCTTCTCACTAACTTTGGCCTTCTGAAGCAGAAACATGCAGAACTCTGAGTCATTGCCATCAGACAGACCTTCTAGCATCAACTTATTTGAAGTGGGATTCTGAGCCCTTGGCTTTTTCTTTCATATAGTACAAAGAAAAAAGAGTAAAGAGTGAGAAAACCTTGAAGTTTAAGGCAAAAAGGGTTCTGTTGTCGCTTGACATAGAAAGAACAAACTAATTAGAATTTTTAAAAAATCAGTTCCAAATTTTATTTTTCATCCAGCGCAGTAAGAAGGGAGATATTTACAATACAACAGTTCTTTCTCTCTGCATTTACAACCTCAGAATTTATTTATTTATATTTTAAAGATAAATGAACTATTTGGAGGTCAAATAGGAAAAAAACACAAAGTAGAAAATCTTTTATTTCTTCCAGGATTATAAGGACCCTTTGCAGATGTTCTAATAAACTTGTCTGCATGTGGAGTTCTGTCTTCTCATAACAAGAGCTGTTATGACACAGAACAGTGTAATCTTAGTTGGGCTGAAGTCCCCACCAGACTTTGGGCAGCACTGGGGACTACCCCACACAAGAGGATTTTAGAAGGGGATGGTGGGGAGTATTCAGTGTATTATTACCACTGTTAATTAATTTGCTAATTTAGCTGCTGAGGCCACATAATAGTCTGCATATACAAAGCATGGGAGGGCAAGACCAAAAGGCCAGGGGTGGAGGTGAGGGAGTTTGTTACTAACAGGCAACAGAATCTGGGTGGCCATAAGGAGAGCACCCAACCACTAGCAATCTCTCTGCATGTTTAGCTGTCTGTGTCAGAGCTTGTAAACATTCTCATAAGTGATTAGGGACGAGGGGATACCGCATCATTCTTCTCTCATCACATGGATGTTCTTCATACCATTTAGAATAACTGGAAAGGAAGGTTACATATTGACCAGTGGAAATGTGCTTGGTTCCTGAACTAACAAGGTTGCTCACCAGTGGAAATTTTATCATCTCTGCCTGTCTCTCCCTAAAGGCTTTTCCTCCCTAAAGGAAAGGATCAGGGCAGGGATTCTAGACCTAGTTGAGGGATTTTGACAATACATTTAATTTTGTAGCTGCTGAATCTTAAATTATTACAATTTTATTGCATTTTGACAGCATACTTTTACAGGCTGTATTTTAAGTTGTAATCCAATAAATATTCTAAGCTGCTGGCAATACAAAGGGTAATGAATGTTCCCCATTCTGTATCCAAACTTATATTAGTTCAAAAGACTTAAGTGCATCTAAATGGTGAATAATGGCCAGATAAAACTGATATCCTCAGGAACATGAAAGAGACTTCTGTTGTTTCACGAGCAATGTTTCATTGCCCTTTTTTTCCAAGTTTCATTAAATAAGGATTGCCAAGAAAAATGATCCCATTACTACTGTTTGGAATAGTGAATGTAACTCTTGGCTTTCTTCCTCATTTTTACAATGTAGGCAGCGTGCAACCATCTGCTCATTCCTTAAATAAAAGAAAAAGGAGTTTCAGACTCCTAGAATGCAGAAGGCAAGCGTCGAGGCACCAACAAGTCATAAAACTGCTAGGTAGAAGCACCAAGATGGCTGTAAAACATTCTTTTTCTGTTTCAGGAGTCTGGGTAGAAATCTGTCATTCTCCAAAAGCTTATTGCTCAAAGGTTGAACTGCCTCCCCCTTCTCTTTTATTTGCTTCTGCCTCTCTTTTTTTGTCATCTTGTTCTATAGGAGTAAGTTTGCTGATTCCTGCCGGGGCGATTCCCCAAGGGAGAGTTTATGAAATGTATGTGACAGTTCAACGAAAGGAGAACATGAGGTAAAAGAGGCTCTGCTTCTGCTGCGTTTGCTTGAGTGCTAGTTTCAGGGAGGAGGCAGACCGTGCTAACATAACCTTCTGATCAGCATGTCTATTTGGATTAAGGCAAGCCTAAAAAGCTGCTGAGGCCACGTAATGGTTTGCAAGCAAACTGAGAAGGATCGCTGAGGAAATGATCTAACCAAAGGTCTCGCCTCTATGGTCTGAGTCAGGAGCAAGTGATGAAATCTTTCACTCTAGCTATTGCTCACTTTGAGCTGCTTAATTGGTATTTATGAGCAGTCTCAAAATAAGGAAGGAAAGTCACAGCTATAAGGGTACCATTCCACAGGCCAGGCCAAGGGAGGGGATGGCATGGAATGGGATTCCCCACCCTTCAAACTTTATATTCTGCATGTCAGTCCCTTCCACACAGGTAGTCCCCAGTTACCAATGGTAATTGGAACTGGAATTTCCGTTGCTAAGTGATGTGGTCGTGAAGTGCAACCTCATGTCACCACATCACTTAGAGACAGCAATCCTGACACTCCTGTCATTACGCAAGGATCACAGGTCCTTCCTGCCATTATGTAAGGATTACAGGTTATTAAGTGAGTCCCAGCTCGCTTGCAAGCAGGCTGCCGGGCAGGTAAGTGGCTGCTGCTGGGCAGGGGAGAGCGTAAGCCACTTACTGGACTGACTTGTGACCTTCCCTGCTGGCTTCCCCATTGACTTTGCTTGTGGGAAGCTGGCAGGGAAGGTCACAAATGGTGATCACATGACCACAGGATGCTGCAACCATGGTTGCCAGGTGCCCAGATCGTGACCATTTGACTGTGGGGGTGCAAGGACAGCAGGAATTTCGAGGACCAGTGATAAGTACCATCATTCAGTGCCATAGTAACTTTGAATGGTTGCTGAATGAGTGGTCATTAAACAAGGACTACTGAAGGTGATGTGTATTTTGCATATTTCCTATCCTGTTTTGCAGTATTAAGTACAAAACCCTGCATTCTGATCATTTCAGCTTTCACTTATTTTCTCCAGTGACAGCCTCCGTTCTATACTTGGCTGCAGCTAGCTACACTTCTATAATCTGATCATCTGTCCTCTATCCCTAAACTAATTGCTTCAGAAAATCAATTATAAGAGAAATATTTCACTGATATTTTGGAAATAGGGAATGATAACAAAGGTCTGACTGTATTATTTGCTTTTTATTTCATAAAGTACTACTATTCCCTCCATTTTTCATAAGCCTAAATTCCAGCGCAGCTCAAATTTTACAATAAATGCTGCCCCTATCTCCTTTACAGGAAATGCTGGTTTTATTCAGTCCTCATCTAGCAGGTCATTACAACTACAATATCTTCCCACTCCACCCCATCTCCCAAATGTACGTTGACACAAATACACTGTTTATTGTCTGTATCAACTTGGTATAAAGACTAGGGATCACAGCCTTTCCCTTTACAACAGAAATTTGTTCCAAGTTTTAGTGCATCTATCCTTTCCTACTGAAGCTTTATACTTCATAAGTGAGCTGCTGTTGCCTTATCAGTCTTTATTAGAAAGACTGATCAGTCAGAAATTAGAAAATTAGAGTCGATTCACGTAATGCACCAAGCCATGGTTTGTTTAACCATGGACTACTGAATAAACCAGCACTGGCCGTTTGCACAACATGCCAAGCTGAAGCTACCAGATCTGGCTGCAAAAATCCAAGTACAAAATGGTAGTGAAGAGCCAGTATTTTCTATGCCTCTTTGCTTTCATATAGAGGTTGTCCAGATTTTTTTTAAGCCCAGATATGCCAGGACAAGCTAAAATCAAACAAATGACATTACTTGTGTGTAACTTCAGCTTTTTTATTCATTTTTAAATATGAAGTTAGGATGAGAGAAACCAAGTAATAGAATTACAAGATGTGGAACCTATAGGACAGACTAGATGTTACTGAAGCCGTGGAACTGGGAACTAAAGCATTTTAAAAAATAAAGATATTTTTAAAAATCTCCCTGCCATCTCCTGTTCTTAGGGTTGACCAATCAGAGCACTGTGGAGTATGAATATTGTAGTAAAACATTAGCAGGGATCTATCTGGCAGTCTAGTTTATTTTCTATGTTAAATCCCAACATTTGGGGGGGGGGGAAGAATGACAAAAGATGATACCTTATTGTAGCTAGAAACCCCAATATTGGTCACCAGAATATTATCAGCATGGACCAGCATGAAATGGTCCAGCACATTTGCATGATTTTACCAGACCTCTTTTGAAACTAAACGAAAAGAGATCCCATTTAGTCATTATCTTCCTGTTGCTCTATCATTTCTACTTCAAGAAGGAAAGCAAGGTGTAAACTTCCACATTTGCTTCCCTCCTCTTTTCTGTAATGAGAGATTAAATAAAAACACCAGTTTAGCATTTAGCTTTAAAGAAACAAACACTTGCCCTTCAGATGAAAATCACAGCTATGATGTTAACATGGTTACTGCCTCTTAAAAAAGGATATAGTAGAATTGCAAAAGAGTAATCCAAAGGATTAGGGGCTTAAGTAGCTCCCCTAGATGGAAAGAGTAGAGGGGTTTGGAGTTTTTTTCACTTGGAGTGAGGATAATATGGGCAGAAGGGAGGGTTTTTTTCTTTCATAATATTGGAACTCAGGGTCATCCATTGAAACTAAATGCAGAAAAATTCAGGAATAATACAACAGGTTCTTTTTCCTAATTTTTACGACAGATCATAATGAAATAAAAAATAAACAGTGGCATTATAACACATAGGGGTTTGTTTTGTTTTGTTCTTTTTTATCTTGTTCTTGTTTTGTATTCTCGTTTTTCATTTTCATTTTGTATTATTATATTGATGTTTTAACGGGTCGCTTATGCAAGATGGGTAGTCATATAAATTGAGTAAAATAACTTTAAACAATAAATGATATTGTTAAATATGGAATTTGCTGCCATCGGGTATGATGATAATCAATTTAGAAGGTTTTAAAAAGATTCATGGTAAGTCAGGCTATTACTCTTAATGGCAAAGTCTACTTCCTTAGGGGAAGAGAATTACATCCAGAATATATACTTGGAATTCCACCTTGGAATTCCAGGGACATTAGCTAGATTGGGAAGTTTTTAAGAAGACTTAGGAAAAGGCAGGGACAAACCATTTTCATAACACTGTCAAAAAAGCATTGATGGTTTACTTAGTGTCTGGTAATGAATATTCCTCTGTGTAGAAACAACATATAATGGCTCATTATGCTAAATCTTCAGGACCTGATCTGAAGATGTGTTTACATTGCTTTCATGAAATGCACGTGTTCTTCCTCAACGTTACATAATCCTGCTTTGCTGTTTTCAAAAAATACAGTTTGTGACAAGGACAATCCTACAAGTTCAGTGTGACTTCTCTGCTATCTCAGTAAGACTATAGTCATTTGTCTGAAAGAGTATCTGAAATATGCTGAGGTTTAGGACCTTTCTGAATGCATCTTTTGGCCACAGTAGATCAGATAGATCCAGAAGGCTTTTCTTATGTGCTTCCTTATGTTTATGGACAATACTGGACATACACATGTATTTTCTTGGCCAAAATTATGTGAGTGACAATTTATGGAAGACTCAAGCGGATAATTAATATCAGCTAAACTAAGCTTTGTTCTAGTTATTAAGACACATAACAACGGTTCCCGTTGTGAAATATCTTCGTCTTTTTTTAGTTCTTACATAACATGTTGATTTTGCTATGATCTAATATTGGTGCAATTTGTTTTTGCCACTTACAATAATCTGGCATTGTTCTTTCAGAAAAATACTTGTTATAAGGAAAAGCACTAATTTTTTTTTAAAAAATACTGAATCTAGCATATGGCATTTCTGGGCAAAAGAAAGAAGTGCAAATGTAGGATTGACGGAGGCTGCCCAAAACATTTTTGATCATGCCAATTTGGAGGAGACAATGCATTTGTATAAACATTTGCATAAAGCAAAACTTCAGTGAAATACCAAAAGTTTTAAATTTGCAAAATACTCAACATGTCCGGAAGGATAACCATCTGCTCCTGCAGTTATTCATCTCCATTCTTTCACTCTACATTCTTCTTTCTTACTTTAAATTGTGTGTTAATCAAAGTATAATATTTCATTCCAGCAAACCAAATCATTGGCACAATGACAAAGAGGACACAATTGAAATAATGAAATCTGTATGTCACTTAGAATTATATATACTATAAACTTGTGCAAGCATACTAATTGCCAACATGGCTTTCCCTTAGGAAAACCCAATATTGTAATGTAGATTAGACAGAATCATTAATGGCAGTCTCAGAAATCATAACTACAAAAACCAGGTTTCTTGGGAGAAGTCCTAATAACTGTTTACTGAGTTTGATTTTCTAGATGAATGCTTAATATAGTAATGATGCCCTCTAGGATAAATACATAGAGAAAAGATTCATACCAAGTTTTAAGGGATGTGCATGAGTAACTGTAGTACATAAGTGAATGTCATTTTAAGTTGCACGTGACATTCACCACATATTTCTGAGGAGCCAGCAGCAGATCACCATAAGCCATTCCCTGCCCATTAACAATTTATTATGGGGTATGCCCCTCAAAAGAAGCAATGCCATTGCTGTAGTTCATAGCAACCATTATTTAAAATATTTTCATCGCGTTCTAATGAGGACAGAAAATAACAAAAGAAACTTTGTGGCATGAACCACCTAAGTCATTAGTCCATGAAAATGGGAGGTGGGGGTCATTAAGAATATTGGTTGGGTATAATAAGAAAAGTTTATGAATAATTTAATACACTTTTCAATTACAATGAAAATGTACTTGTGACATTTCCTCATATTTAACTGCATTTATAACATAATCCTAGATTTCAGCCTGCGAACAAGAGCTAGCCCAGAATAACTGAAGATATTTTAGAAGCATTTTTCTTCTCAGGAAATCTACTGTTTGTCCATTCTTAAATCTCTATTGTGAAATATGACTGATTAGGTATCAATGAGATTGCAATATGTAATGGTTTACAGTACTTACTAAGTTCAGTGTCTGGTAATGAATATTCCTCTAAGCAGAAACAACAACATATAATGGGTCATTATGGCTAAATATGTTCATGGATTTTTCATTCCTTTCTTCTCTCTTCTCCCTTCTCTCTAAATCTCTCTCTCTCTCTCTCTCTCTCTCTCTCTCACACACACACACACACACACACACACACCTACCTCACTCAGTTTCATGAGCCCAGTTCAAGATTTGGTATACTTACCATATGGGCATTCCCAATAATCCCCAGACAATGTTATTCAAATGGCTTTTGTAGAACAGAACTGTCTGCAAGAGCAAAACTGTTGTGGGTATGTCTGAACATGCATTGGCTTGCACATGAGTCAGAACACTGCTCATTACAATATCGTCAGGGTTCTTGCTAATGAAGAAGTCGATGTAGTTTTTCTCTTGCATGTATTTTTATGAATACACAAGTCTTTGCAGCAGCTAACATCATTTTAGTAGTGTTGGCTGGAGGAAAGGAGGGTAGAGTTTAGAAATATATCTGAATAAGACTATAAAATATACCTGAGTGGGACTATAGTTCCAGTTGTCATTCATATGCCACACTGAGTCTTTATGGGTTCAGTAGCATACAGATCAATCAATCAGTCAATCAAAATATACCTCTATAGATTGCTATACAGATCATTCACACAAAGATCTGTATTAGCAAAAATCTCCCAGATACATACTACCTTATTGTTTCTACTTGACTCGTCTTGGTAGTCACCCTACAAAGACCTACATGCAAATTAGTATTTCAGGGTTATTCTTAACTAACAAGCTGAAATCTGAATTCTAGTTTGTTTTTCCCCTGGCTTCTGATTCCTGGCTTGTGTAGAGTGAAAAATAAGGCATTACAGGTTACATATAATGCTAAACAAACTACAGACAGACTTTCTATCTTGGTTAGCTACTCCTACTGACAGCATGAGTGATCAGCTAAGTAATCAAGGAGTATGCCTCTGCATAATTTTAGTATGAAGATGAGCATAAGATTGGGTTTTATGATTAGTAGTAGTCTTGCGTTACTGTTTATGGTGCAAACTGAGTACTAGGATTACAATTAGGGAAAATATTTGCATTACTGCTAGGGTGAATTTTTGCATGAAGAATTTGTGGGAATCTGCATAACGATTTTCTGGAAGCAAAAGTATAAATCCTGTATTAGAAGGCAGATTAATCTCCCTGAAGAATGAATGGAAAGTTGATGAAAAAGGATATGCCGCATATGATAAAATGATTAGGCCCAGACTATGGAATGCTTTGCATGAATATGAGTTTTAAATCTGGCTGCTGAATGTGATAAGAGTGGTTTAAAAGTAAAGCCTATCTGAGAATGAATAAAATGCTTAGCAAATGGTTCAACACAGAGACGGAGTAAGACAAGGATGTGTTTCCTTGCTTTATAATGTATTTATGAGTAAATGTATAAGCAATCATTCTGGTGACACTGGAGATGCATTGGCTGGAAACGTAAATGTACATGTACTTTTACATTAAGATTTTGTTGTGTTGTTGACTGAGAATCTGAACGATTTGCAATGAATTTTGGATAGATGGTAAGCTGTAGCAAGCAGTATGAAACTAAAATCAGTGCATCAAAGAACAAACATAGTTGTGTTTGACAGGGAAAATGGAATGAATGATTGCAAGTTCTGTATAAATGGGGAGAAACTAGAGCAAGCAGATGTATTTGTATGCTTTGGTAGAATGTTTACCATGTACGGGAAAATAAAAGGAGGCATTCTAAGATGTGCATATACTGGTGGAAAGATAGTAGGTAGTCTGTGCATGAGTGATAATGAGATTGAATACCGAATTGGTGACCAGTAACGGTTTGAGATGTTTTGGCCATCTATAGAGAGAAAGAATAAGGGTCAAATTGCAAAACTAATACGTAAAGGAAGAGTGAATGTGTTGAGAGGAAGAAAAAAAAATTGAAAAAGTCATGATGAGTTGATGAGATCTTCAGAAAGACAGAGGTAAGAAATTTAAAGAACAAGACATTATATGAATCCTTGTATGGATGTGGTAGAAGCGATGTCGTTTATAAGGATAGAAAGCTATAGGTGATGGTGTAAACTAAATATACCTATATTTCCCTTTCTTTTCTTATCTTACGTCTTTAATTTCTTTACCTTATTATTTCTTACTCCTTATCTTCATTTTGCATAACATTACTTACATACCTTGAAAGAGAGTAGTATGATGGATGTGTACACTCCTGCAGTGTAGACTAGACAAAAATATCACATCAAGGAAGTTGTAAATCTACTGTAGAATGTCGAATGTAGATTTCAGACTCACAATGGCTTATGTTTCAACTGATTTTTTTTTCAATATTTGCCATAGAGATTGCCTGTCATAGTTTGGGGATTATTTTCCCTCTGTTTTCCTTCCTTATTGTTTTGCAGTGATTTTAAGTATGAATAATTGTTAATATTCAATAGTTTAAATAATAAATAATGCCAAGTCTTGCTCTGATCTAAATTCAGGAATAAATAATATCAGGTTTTAAAATGAATCAGCTTCTATTATATTTGATGAATATATATTTTCTTCTTTTATAATCCGTTTAGGCCACCAGTAGAAGACTGTCAAACCCTTTTGACCCCTGTAGTGAGCTGTGGGCCTCCAGGAGCATTGCTAACACGGCCTGTCATTCTAACGATGCACCACTGTGCAGAACCGAACACCGAAGATTGGAAGATTCAGTTGAAGAACCGAGCTGCCCAGGGACAGTGGGAGGTGAGGTTGTTGACCTTCACCTGCGTGATTCACACTGCTTGACCGAATGGCCATTAAAATATATTTTCCTGAAGTATATGTATTGTTGCCATTTTTTGTCATTTAGTTTAGATTTCCCAACTTGGTATTGAGACTGCAATTTCCAGAATGGAATGTTTTGAGTTGTAAGACAACTTGGCAGGATACCAAATTGGGGAACAGCTATAAATTCAGAAAAAGAGTAGATAGTATGTTATATTATTCTTGATATTGAAATTATTTAGTATGTTAGGAAAAGAGTCTGATTCATACCAAGAATATTAAATAATTCACACCATCAGTATTAACTAGATTTCAGATAGGTAATGGGCTTAAAAGAACTCTAAATGTTCATCAGAGGATGGTAGAACTTGGCAGTATTTTTTTAATTAATTAATTTGCTTGAACCCCTGTGGTCAACTTAAGCCTTTTCCAGTCATTCATAAACTCTTATAAGCATAAAGGAGAAATGGGATGTATTTAGTTATACCCCATATACATCTGATTCTCCCATCTTGATGTGGAAAGACTGAAGAAGAATGTAATGATGTTGAAATAAATACTACAGCCTTTTTTGAACTTGAGAACTTTGTGCAAGACCTGATCAAATGAAGTGCCACAAGCACATTCAACAAGATTGAAAACAGTTCTTCTTCTGACTTTCCCTATCAATATACAGATGTGAAAGAGGTAGATCGAGTTCAGACACTCCCATCCTGCCCTATGGGCTATAATTTATGACTGCTTGAAGTGTTTCTCTCATTTTTATAATCTGACATTAACTTCATATTTGTAAGTCACTCTTATAAATGGCACTGAAAAAAATATTAGGTACGATGGGCTTTCTTCTAAGACAGACCTCTTCATTTCAATTCCATGGTATTAATAATTCTAGTAAAGAGTGAATTACTTTCTCTACTCAGTGGTGCTAAGTGGTTGGAAATAGGTCCAAACAGGTTTTGTATGAAAGAATAATATGTTGCTCTGTAGTAGGCACCTCCTAAGAAATCTGTAACTTCAGTAAAGTAGTTGGTACTGCTTCTCTGTTGTCTTTGGGACATGCTTGCTTGATGTTGTATTTATTTGCTAAAAGAAAAAAAAAACTTTCAAAAAAGAGGAAAGCATAGGTGCTACAATTCTGTTGCAGAAATTCTCACCTTTTTTTGATAAAATATATTTTTGTAAAATCACATTTTGTAAAATGAACTTGGCATAATAGTTCAAACTGTTTCCTAATTGTATAGCAACAGCAGCTGAATAAAATACCTCAGTTCTAAAATCAACTCTAGGTTTTGATTTTGGTTTTAGTTTGAAATATTTGCTATATAGAATATTCCATGAATGTTCAGAATGTTAAGCAATGGACTTGTAATAAACTGCTTTCTTCACTGTCTAGAAGCTAAGCTGACAAAATTTAGAACGTAGATTGTCACTACTAGCAAATAGCCATGCTGTGGTTAACTTCATATAAGATGATTTTAGCTACCCCTTTAAATATAAATGACATTATTATATGTGGATTTGTTGTTTTATCTTGTATTTCCATGTTATTTTTAATGTTATTTTAGCTCCCTTGAGCACTGTACATATAGAAAGGCAGGAGATAAAGTGAATGTGTGTGTGCATGCATATATGCACACACACACAGACACACACACACACAGACACACACACTGAACACTTGTTGACTGAGTGGTATCTTGACAAGTAATCTAATCTTTTTGGGAATATTTTTATGATAGATTCTTTCTTGCTTGCTTCTTGTAGATATTGTATGGGGATCTGAGAGTAGGGAAAGTCCTAAAAGGCTCCTTCAAACTCTATAGTTCTGTGATAAGATATATTTATCTTGGGAGAGCTTGTATTTAAGAATGTGCTCTCTGCTTGCATTGACTATCAGTTTCTGGGCCCAGTTGAGGTTGGGGGAGCGGTCATTTTCTCCATGTGTACTGAGGCAATGTTCTTGTGCAAATACCTTTACTGTCTAAAGTATGGTGCATGGATATTACATTTAATGACTTCGTAGTACCATCACCCTGTCTAGGAAGCTCTGTTTGGTAGGCTCTTTTCTGCTTATTTTTATTTCCTTCTAATCAAACTAAGGCTCATGTCATTTTTTCCCTTTGAAGTTTTTCCATGTTATTAACTTTTATTTTGGGCATGGCATTCCGTTATTTTCTATGTCTTTGATTTCATTGTTGAAAACCGAGCATTTCGCTATGAAAGAATACAGAAAGTTAAATATATAAAAATAAGGATCCACATTTTATTTTACCCACAGTTAACAAATGTCAAGCCCTGGAAATCTCTTGCTACTGTAGTCAGTATTGGGTTAAATGTGCCCACTATTTTTAGATAATCTATTCTTGTACATGCAAGCATGCAAGTTTTGAACAGGCTTCTGGCACCAAATCTTATTCCTGTTAGTGGCCTGTGTGCATCACACATGTGAGGCCTATACCTGCATGGAGCTTCAGTCAGGAACTTTCCAAAACTGAGATTTTTTTTGGCAAGATGCATGGCCCCATTGCACATGCTTAAGAGATGTTCCTGCTGTTCCTTTTCAGCTGTGAGATAGGAAGTTTTCTTTGTATATTTTCTCCTTAGCAGACAGGAAAAACTCTGTTTTTCCCTAGATAGTAGTTCCTTTTGTTTGTTCTTCTCTTTACTCTTCTTCTGTACAAGGCAAACAGGAAATTGAAGATATCCTCAAATGGGCTGTTTCTGATGCCTTTTGGGTACATCAGTCTCCCAGCTAACTGTAGGGTTAGGGCAACAAAAGCACATTTTCATAAGTGTGTTTTTAAGCATGGTGGCAAATTCAGTCCCCAATGCAAATGCAGCTTGCTGTTGCCAGTGATGTCTTAGTTTGAGATAGGGGTATTTTGTTTTAGGAAAAGTTATGGGAGTGCCTCCTTTGTGACTGGGCTGGCTATGTTCTGATGCTCCTAAGGCATTAGTGATCGTGATACAGTTTTCATCCCCTTTGTTTCCAGTGCCATCATCAGAGAGGTCAACATTCTGTTAGAAGTACAAATTGTCATGCTATCAGCCCCAGGCCACACGTTAAATTTCTAGTCGACAAAATTAAAAAAAAGCCATATCAAACCAAGTTTCTTGTTATAACCAGACTGAATTTTCAAAACTGAAGACCAAAGGATTGAGACCTCCACCGCTGTTCCTAACTGTTCAAGCACAATCCATTCCAGGAAAGTGAGGCCCCACTTCAAGCACACTTGCCCACTCTTCACCACTTTTGTCTCCAATTTATACCAAGTGCCTGTCTAAACAAACAAAGCCATTGTCACGATGAGAGGATTTAATGCTAGGCCTTTGTATCCATTGTTATAAGTTGTCAGTTCCCACTTTTCAGTCCCTCAGATTAATTGGTGGCTTCCGAATTCATACCACTAGAAGACTAACTCATGTCTGATCCACAGTCACAGTGCACAAATTCCTGATGTATAAGTGGTGTGTAAAACTGCATAAGTGGTATATAAGATTGATCCAACTTTGCTTTGTATGGCTTTTCACCGATGTATAAATCCCCATACTATGCAACTTCAATCTGGGCTTTCATTCCATCTTCAATCAGAGGTTTGCTATCCTGCTAAATAGACTACACTGATCTCAGCAATGGCTCCAAGTTTCAAACACTCTACTTCATAATAACTGCTACTGCAAATGCATCCCTTTCTGACGGGGAGGCTCACTTGTGGTACTTTACCATGTAGAGTTATTGGTGCTTTATGGAGTGACAGATTCACATTGGCTGACCTAAGTGTACCATTGCCCAAAAAGCCTTTTGGGCTTCGAGCAGCATCAAGCAATTCAGAGTGCTACAGGCAGTGTCACAGTGATCTATTACATATGCAAACAAGGTGTGTGGAAGAACAGGTTGCTTGAAAAAATTGCAGGCACCTGTTCTCCATCCTTTCCCTCCCATTTGAGCCTTTCCCCCAGCACCAGCCAATAAAGCAGCAACTTGACAAGATGTAGAAGACAAGCCCTCACACATATACATTACTTTTATAAAATATCTTTGTTTTACAAAATAAGAAGTTTCCCCATCCCTTATAGGGAGATAAAGAAATTGCTGGGTCCAGTGCTTTTGCATCTCTCTTGAGTCTGATGGGTTTACCTAATTGGGTATGGTTTAAAAAAGACACCATGACAGAGTGATCCAAGCATTTATTTCTTTTCCACCTAATATTCCATCTTTGGATCAGGTGCCACATCTGTGGTAATAAAATGCAATCCAGTGACTGTAATTACTAAAATAAATAGATTTGTTTGCTAATGATAATTTACAGTGCTATCAATGGCAATCTGACATTCCAGGAGATACATTCTTTCATTATTGGAACAAGAACCTTCTTTTTGTGTTCTCCTCAATGTTTTGGCTAATCAGGATGATCCAAGACTCCAAGCTGAATGCACTCTCTGGTGGCCAAGGTGTGGTTCATATCTTTCTTCTTATTGTCCCATTAAGCTTACACCAGTTTTCTTGGCATCCTGACCTCCTCCCAACTTGCAGCCAAGTTCTCTATTTTGACTTGAATTTTGACTCATTTAGTTCCAAAAGTCTCCTCTCCTATACTGAACATTCTTGAAGTAGTATCAACTCAATATTCCTGTGTGAAAACATGAACTCAGTTCTAAGTTATTGAATCTGAAGTATTTTAAGTTAAACTCATTGCAAGCAATTTTTCAGTTATTCTACAATTTCACAACTCTCTCTCTCTCTTTGATCAAGGTTTCCTTCTCAGCTATTTCGGACAATCTTTCACCAATTGATGGATATTCCTTGGTTTTCCATCCACTTAATGCAACCTACCTTCCTTCCTATCATTTTCCATCATGGAGTTTACCAGGAGTTCACACTTGTTTAATGAATTGGTTGTTTAAACCTCTGGCTACTACCAACATATGTGTGCTAATTTTCAATTTGTGTTTTTGATAGTTTTTAACTTCTGTTTGGACAGCTAGTAATCTACATGTGTTTCAGCCTGAACCTCCTTATCTGCAATGCCACAGTGACATAGTTGTGCTATATCCAGATATGACCTTTCTTCCAAAGATATGTTCATACTTTCATCATAATGAATCATTGATTCTGCCAACATTCTTTCTAACCCAACCATAGGCTTTAAATGTACAATATGCTTTAGCCTGTTGTACAGTTTGGATTAAACCCTAGTACAACTCTCAGCATCTTTTTCTGAATAATTCAGGTTCACACAAAGATTCACAAGCTTCATCTCAAACTTTTTCCAAATAGATTGTGCAGACTTTCTACCAATGAGAGTTTGAAGTCACTCATCCTGGACTGTTGCTTCAGTCACAGCACTGTACCAAGGTATCTCTTTAATGGATCTATGTAAGGCTGCATTAATAATTACAGCTGTCCACTTTCATAAGACACTGTCACCTGGATGTACGTTCAGGAACAGACTAATCCTTCCACTGAATGGTTTTGTCATTCTTTCCTTATTGTTATCTTCCCTACCTTCTACAGTTAAGCTTGCTGATCCCCACGCACCCATCTGTGTCATGTAAAGTAATGAAGAAGATAGTTTATTTTTTTCTTCAAGGAATCATCCTGTTCATTCATATATCTATTTTCCTCTCTACAAATAACTGCACCAATTAGTATTCCTTGTCCTCTGTGCTGCTATGTTGGTTTTGGAAGTTAAGGGGGAGCAGAAGCCACATCAAAAGTATGAGGAGTTGAGATATATTTTCAGCCCCAAATCTCTCAAAGCTTTGGTTGATTCCCAATCAGCTATCTTTCTTGCACAGTAAGCTTTGACATCTACAGTATATGCTAATTCTCTCACTATTTTGAATATTATTCTGTTTTTCCTTCCTTCCATTGAGCACCACTCAAGTCAAATCAGTTTTGGAAGTGCCAACACAATTGTTTTATAGCTTGGCCAGCAATGGTTGTAGTAATCATTACAGATTACCTGTTTCTTCTTATTCCTCAGGAAGGATCCCTCAATCACTTTGCATATATGCAATATCACCTTATCCTCAACCAAAGAATTTTGAATCTTTCCCCAAGTGAGGAATCATTGAATCTAGTAATTCATTTACAATGTCAAGATTACCAGCTGCCTTACTTTGAGACAACAAGAAAAAAGTTCTTAATAAATTTATTTGATGTTTCAGTGATTATATGTCTTCCCCGTTATCACTGCATATCATCTAGTGGCTGTCTTTGGGCAGCTATGTTTTCCAGATTGTCTAAGCAGCTTCTCTTCCTTTAAAGTCCTTAATCAAAATGGGAAGTATCTTTCTAATATCTATGACCAATTTGGAAGTGTCTTTTATGTGACCTAATGCTGAACATCCAACTATAACTTCTCGTGTTCTTTTCCTTTATAACTTTATCCATTTTGCCCCACCCACAAATATCCTCATTCTGATTTACTGGTGCGTATTGCTCAGTTTACCCTATCCTTGGCAAATGTCAATTTCCCTAACTTCCATTTTCATTTCTCTCCATGCTAAAATTATTAAAGACATTATACAGTATGTTTGTAATTTAGCAGATGAATATATTCATATATTTTTCCCTTTAATGAAATATGCACATATGTTTTATTAAAACTTTGGATTTGAATCCTTGCATGGAAAATTATTTACCACTTCAAAAATACAGAAGTTTAATTTGCTTGTGAACTACAAAAAAGGTTGGGGCCACCCATTCCTGAGATATTATGAAAGCACATTCCCTAGATAATAGTCAAGTAGAAATTAAATAAGTAAATAAAGATTCTGAAGGCTATACCCTTGATTTATTTGAATGCTAGTCCATGAATCATACTTGATTTCAATTCCCTCAGACATCTCCAGATATTTTAAGTTTCTCCATGGTATTTTGACTGGAAAAGCAATGCTAATTGCCTAAGTACTAATGATGGACTGAATGGATCTCAGCATTGTCTGACCCATTAATTGTTAAAATTGTTAATTTTAAACAATTGTTAAAATTGTTCTTATTCCATTGCCTTGTTCTTTTCAGGATATAGTAGCAGTTGGAGAAGAAAACTTCACTACCCCATGCTACATCCAGTTGGATCCAGAGGCATGCCATATCCTGACAGAAACTCTCAGCACCTATGCCTTGGTAGGGCAGTCAGTCACCAAAGCAGCTGCAAAGCGTCTGAAATTGGCTATATTTGGGCCGCTGATCTGCTCATCCTTGGAATATAACATCCGTGTCTACTGTCTGGATGATACCCAAGATGCCCTTAAAGTAATTTTTATTCTTGATATCATCATGGTCTCCTCTTCCTCCTCCTTCTCCTCTTCTTGCATTTCTATTATTATTATGACAGCATTGCAAGAGCATTTATTTTTGGACTTTGCTTTTGATTGCTAACAAATGGGAGGCAATATGTTTTATAACAAAAGATGGAGATGAGTAAGACAAAAAAATACAAATTAAAAAGTAACAATGCCTTTTGCATCATTATTTCCCTCATACTATAAGCTAATTCTTTTTCCAGAATGCCTCATTCTTTTGTCTACCAGCAATGTAATCTGGATTCCGAGATATTTGCATTATTAAAAGGCCATAAGGTGCTCAAAAATTGAATTGCTGGTTCATGTATTTTTCACGCAAAGTGCCAGCTCCCCAGAGGAACAAAACATATAAATGCCTCTTTGTAAATACTTTATAATGACAAAAGAAGCTCCGGGGTTGTTAATGAAATGCCTATTGTTGTATTGCTTGGTAAGATAACTAAGTCTGCAGTGTTTTCACTGAGAATTTGCAACATAAATGATCTAAGGTTACTGCTTTCTGTATTTGTATGCACAATCTTATCCATTCATACCTGTTAACTAATTCCCACCAGAGTTTCCACACTAACAGGTACAGCTTCTTGTCTTCTTTATAGTTGGAATCTGTGGTGCGGTAATAATCTCCATCATTAAGCATAGCATTACTGATATCTGACTCTTTACTTGTAGATTATCTATTGAGTGGATGTTTCTCAATGGCTTTACGTAATGGTTCAGTGACTATATCCATAAATACCTCCTAAAATGTATTTTTGTGCTTTGCTTGCAAATCCATGTGACTCTAACTGCTATTGCCAATGCTTTTTACAAAATAGAACAAATTATTACTATTATTATTACTATTGCACCTCTACTAGTAGTAGTAGTACATAATTTACAGTGTCTTTCAGTCAACACACTGGGTGTTACTATCTTTACTTATATGCAACGGTCTGATTTCTGCAATTATTTTAAATACAGTAAGGAAATGTTTAACAGAACACTAAAATAGAAGAGAATATCTGTAGCTCAGGATTGAACTGTGGGATCCTTGGCGTTCTCATGATGATATTGTCAAGTCAGGTAATGAAACATCTGCAAGCAACCAAGTGCAGAGAGCACCAAGGACTCCACAGAACAGTAAAAGCAAGTCACATACATGTTTAAAGGCCCAGGAAACAGTTTTAAAAGAATCATCTTTAGTCTGGCACCTTACAAAAGCAATTTTGCAGGGCTTTATAGTGTTTCAAAAACCTACAGTCCCTGCTTGAACAGAAACAACAGTAGACTAAAACTGATAGTGCCATGCCATCTTAAACTTTTAAAAACAATTATCTGCCTACAGCAATAGAATACAAGCTGGAAAAGCTTTCTGAACCACATGTGGTTTCTTTGGGCAGTATCTGACAGTGTTGTTAGAAAATTACTGCATTTTATTCATTAGAATATTACTGCTTGCATCTCAAACTCATTAAAAGGGGATTAAGATCTAAGCCGTGTCAAAGTTTGAGTCTCCCAGAGGTAAATTATTTTTTTCTTATCTGCCCATTTTGGCCCACAGAATTGGTAGGTGTTTTCACATATTCTCTAGACTTTTTATGTGCAAACAAATGTCTTCTGAGAATTAGTAATAGAGGCAGCTAAGTGCTGACTTATGCAAGGAAGTGTGTGAAGCTGTTCCAAAGCTCCTGGGTTTTCCACAGAGCCAAATGATTTTTAGGAATTCAGATACTTAACATAGATACACAATCTATGTTTTTAATGTTGAATACGTTAATATACAAAAGGGCATTTTGTGTGTTAATATACAAGTTAATGTATTCCACTCTGGTTAAATAAATTCAAAGTTTGCTTATATATCCCTATACTGGGACTGAACAGCATTGGCCAGTTGCACAGCATAATGGCACCATGTCATAGTTTACCACAGGTTTGACCAGGGCAGACTAAAAAGAGGGGCATTATGAAGCATTTGGTAAGTCACAGTACATTCTGGGAGCATTGTGCATAGCACCAAGGAGACCTTCAAGCAAACTTTCGTAAACTCGTATCAAAACAGCAGGTCCCTTCATAGCTGTTTTTAGTAATGTAACATTACATGAAAGCAGGGGTAGGTGTCTTCAGAGAAGTCAGCAGCCTACTTATTCTAGTTTCATGTCTAACACTTGTCCTAACAAAAAATAGCAAAGCACTACACAGCTACTGTAAGACATTCAGACTAAATCAGCCCTTTGAATCTTGTAAAAATATATCTTTCTCTTGAAGAAGTTAGAACATGCTAAAATTATCTTGAACTTTAGTAAAAAAAAAAAGTGTTATCATCATCATCATCATCGTCATCATCATCTAGTTAGCCTTGATGATTGAAACTGGACTTGAATCTAATTCTTCTTGTATATAATCCAACACATTAACCGCTACATAAGAGAAAACTTTAATCTTCCTGTTATCCACTCCCTATTCATTCTGAAAAATCCCTGATGTCAAACCTGCAATATCAGGAATGAAGAACAGGGAAAGAGAAGGGCCATGGTATAAGCAGAATTTTCCAAGCTTAGGAAAAAAAGCAAGGGAAGTCCTTTTCTTAGCCTGAAAATGCTCATTGCTTGTGGCATGAAAGAAACTACAAATACTATATATCTATATCCATCTTCCCTTCAAGCTTGCACTGAACTGCTTTGAAAAGTTGAGTAGAATTGCTAGATAATAATGATGCATGGTGTTATTAAATTTGCATGTTTAAGTGAATCTTAATTAAGTGCAACTGTATAGACTGTATGAGGAATATATCAGCGAACTACCATAAGGACATATAACAAATTTTCCTTTTCACAACTCAGGAATATAATTTGGGTATAATTAACATTGATAGTAATCAAATAATTACTATTGCTTTGCTTTTTAGGCATCTTCACAAGGTAATTAAAGTGTACTTGGAGTAAGCTGAAGCTGATTGATTGGCAGAATGTAATTCTAAAAGCTTTCTAATTAGGTTCTTCCCCCCCCCCCCCCCAGTCTAAATGAAAACACCATTTTGACTTTAAGAATTCTCAGGTTAGCTGGAGACAACAGCCTTCTCTCAATTATGCTAAATAGTCTGTGAACATGATCAACATAATGATCTTGTATGT